GACAACAACATGTAAGGAAGCCCAAGGCGAAGCCGGGCTTCCGCGCTAGTATCCTATAGAAGACTCTAAACCATTCTTGCCGCGGCAGTGGGTGACTCGGTTTCATTACCTGACGCCTTCTGGTCGCCCAAATTCTTCAGGACGTCCTTCGCGTTTGACGGAACAATGTATGAGCAGGTGATGGGAACACCTGCGGGTTCACCGATTTCGGGACTCATATTCGAGGTGGTACTGCAAAGACTTGAGTCGCTGGTCTTCCAACACCACAGACGGAAATTCAGGGCGCGTTGTATGGATGATACCTTCGTCGTCCTCGAACGGGCTCAGGTGCTTACGTTTAAAGAACGCCTCAGCCGCATCTTCCCGGACTTATCATTTACGATGGGGGAGGAAGAACACAACCAACTGGCCTTATTTGATGTTCTCGTCTGTCGCAAGGACTGTGGTGACTTAAAGTCGAAAGTTTTAAGGAAAGCGACAAAACAATGCGTGTACTAAACGGCAACCAAAACCCCCAATCAACCACAAACGCAGTTACGTAGGAACGCTTTATCGGTGTGTTCAGGAGCACTACAGTGCAAATAAAAGCCCGCAAGGAGGTGAGTCAAGAATTTCTTTAGGCATAATTCATGGTCCCCCAGTCCACAAAAAATTGCAACGACCTACCCAATCCATCTGCGATGCTGAGGCTCTATTTGGCCATTTGGGGAACACACAGGCCACCACGTCGTCTTACACCAATACCGGGCAACCAGATAGCTGAGCAATCATTACGTCCAATTCCCCCACGCGTGATGCAAGTTCAACAGGTCATGGCCCGTATGTCGGTCAGCAAGCAATTAACGCCCAAGAGGGCAATTATCATTAACTGTCATAAGTGTGGAGTAATGACTGTATCCTATAAGTACGACAACTTTTTGTGTGTGCAGTACCCATTTCTGCTACTCTTTTCTGATGATACCTCTGATAAAAGATCCGCATCGGATGTCGAAACGTCAGGCGAATAAAAGTCTTGTCACAACGATCGCATCTTCTTCTTCTTAATTACTTCCCGGGACTCGCTTTTTCGCTTGCATTCATACTTCTAATAAAATATACCGAGCTACGCACACGCTTAGATGTCAACATTTGCCTCAATATGCTAAAATATATAAAACCAGTGAAAATCAATGACAAAGGGTTATATTACTCAAGCAACCATTTTTTTGCAGTAGATAATTTGTGTAGGTGGTAAGAAAGGAACTCGCCTAAAGGCTAGCATCTTGATGTGACTGAAGACTATATATATATATATATATATATATATATATATATATATATTCACACAGAAA